AGATGATTTTTATATGCCTTTTCTATTCACATAATTATATGTCATCTATAATAGTAGCTGTAATTTTCATATCTGTCCTCTTCAGAGGATAGAATTGCACTGGGATAAGATGAAACTTTGGAACTGGAGTGCTTTCCCATCTTCTAGTTTTGGTGGAAAAGTAGTCACAGAGAATTTTGAATTGACCAAGGTTCACCAAAGTTAGCATTTAGAGTAGACAAAAGAAGTGACATTTCATCTGAACTACCTACAGAAAGGAAAAGAAATAAACAGAGAAGACAATGAAGAATGTGTCCTCTCTAACTGCCTTCCTGGAGAATGGTAAAACAGAAGTCCCCTCTACATAGAAATGAAGGCCAGAGTGAGAAAAAAAATCAAAATAACCCCAAAACAAAACCAACAAACCAACAATAAACTTTTTATTCAATAAAATTTTACTTAAAATTTATGGTATAGGCCTTAAGAGTGAAAATAAATTGCTTAATCTGGGCCAACTGTATGGTCTTAAACACCCAAAAAGAAAGTATAACCAATGATTAAAGTGATCAGTATATTTCTTTAAGAGTCCATATGTATAGACTTCTCAGACAATAGGCCTAAGTCCATATAAAATTTTATTTAGACAATTATTTCTCCGTGATGATTTTGTGTCTAATCAGAAAGTCTTGCTCAGATGTTAGACTTCAAATCTAATGAACAGCAGACCCCAATCTTATCCAAAGGAATGTTGGCAACTGATTGCTGCTAGATGAAGAGGAGCTGATCTTCCTAAAACAAGGAGCTCTATCTAGATAGGTTGACTAGACTCAGCAAATGGACTTGCGCCGGAGAACGGCTGGGGGCACTGACAACACAGTAGCAGTAACAGGGATGACAGAGTGGGTTCCAGTTGGCGGGGGGAGCTATTGGAGGGTGCCATCTGGGATGCAGGTATAAAGATGAATAAGATTGTTTGGGATGTTCTGTATGAAAGACACACACACAAAAAAAATAAAAGAAAAAAATTTAAAAAAAAATGTGGTCTAGCTCATATCTTATTTCCTTTATGTTTAATAATTACATTAGATATAAGTTAGCCTTAGCTCTAATACTACACATTGATTGGAACTTTTCATACTTGGTTATATATACATAACTCAGTTAGGCATGTGTGTAAGCACACATGTGCTAAAAGTTCTGAATAAATATGACTAGTATACACCCATATTTATCTTAAGTTTCTTTGGAGAGAAAGCATTTTATCCATGCGTTCTGATTTTCTTTGTCTACTGGTACTTCTTGTCATTGTATTTAACACACTATCCAAGTTCTGGTGTCTTACTGATTCACAAGGAATACAAAGATTTTGTAAATGTTATAGTCATTCCTTATTAATTTAGTAAATATTTCTTGAAAATCTACTTTGTGTAACATACTACACTAGCACTGGACTTAATGGAATAACTACTTTTGAATCTTATCTAACTTAGATCTGCAGAGTAGAATTGAAAGTTTAAAAACTTAAACTTTGCTTGCTTTAAATCAGTTAATATATTATAATAATAATTATTGAAATAATACCCTGCAACAGTTAAAATATGGGTTTTTATGGGCTGGAGAGGTGGCTCAGCAGTTTAGAACACTTACTGTTCTTGCAGAAGACCCGTTTCGAATCCCAGCTCCCACCTGGCAGCCAACAACTGTCTGTAACTCCAGTTCCAGGGGATCCGACAGCCTCTTCTGTCCCCTGTGGGCACTGCATGACATGGGTGCACTTACCTACATTCAGGCAATACACGCATACACATAAAATAAAAAATATGGGTTTATAGGGGACTTCACTTATGTAAATTTTTAAAATTAAGTATCTCAGTCTCTAGGCCCATTTTACTGTGTGTGAACAGAGAAAAATAATATATCTTATATGATTAAATGATATAATGTATATAAGATTCATATCATGGGGTCTTGGACATAGAATGTCTTCTGAAAGTAGACCTACATCTTACAAGAAATTATCTTCTGATAGCCTTGCTTTTGTTTCTATGTAAAAAATTTTCAAATAAGCATGATATGGTATAGGAAAGGCAAGGATTTACATTCTTGGATCTAATAATATTAAAACATTTTTTAAAACTTTTCTTCATGTAAGGAGGTGAGTTTTAAAAGTCTCTATTGGGTTAAAGCCAAAGATAGTCTGGTCTGGGTCAGAAGAAAATGTTTTAACATATTATCAATATAATAATGTTGTTGGAATGTTGTTCTTTTGTAATCGATAATGATGTAACATATCTACTTTCTCCTTGTACTTGTTTTTAATTTTTATCTTATTAGGCTATTCATTCAATTGATTGGCATCATGAAGGCAAACAGTTCATGTGCAGCCATTCAGATGGTAGCTTGACTTTATGGAACCTGAAAAATCCAAGTCGCCCTTTCCAGACCACAATTCCACATGGTAAGATACATGCTTTCAAAAAAATTTAAACACTGGGGATTCTAGAATCGCCTATCTATAACTTTAAATCTTCTCATTTCTACTTCATTTATTCTGGAGTACTGTTATTGGGCATTTATTAGCTCTCTTACAGAGGAATATATTTTGGGTCTTGTGCTTTTTCCAGTCTTGGGGTTAGAATGTTTAGACCACTGATGTTAAGTATAATTGCTGATAAGACTGAGCTTAGTTCTAACTCATTATTGTTTCTTGTCATTCCTATTATAATATTTTGTTCCTTTTATAATATTTAACTATTATAATATTTTGCTTCCTCTCCACTTTCTGGTTATTTGAATATTATAATTAGAAACACATTGTAATTGGTTCATATGCATTTTTAATCTTCATTGTTGTTTGCTGCAGAAATTGTATTATACTTCCTTAACTATTCAGTCTGTAAGAACTAATATGGTCTTGTAATAATATAAGTCTATTAATCTACATTCACTATCATTTATACTATAATTATGTATTATACACAGATACATTGCTATTATAATTTTTGCTTTAAATAGTCACAAATGGAGACAAAGCTCTTTGTGTTTTCTTTTCATTTTTATTTATTCCTGAAAATTATTTACATTTTATGTATGTAGGTCAACTAGAAATGATTTCATTTAGTTTCTCTTATCTAAAATTACCTTTTTCCTTCCTTCAGTCTTGAAGACTATTTTTGCTATATTTATATTCTGGATTTGCTAGATTTAGATTTCTCAGGTCAGAGAACTGAGAGTTTACTTATGTGTTTTTATAAACGTAATGACAGCTTTAATGATGTTTCATCATCTTCTAGCTTCAGTATTTTCTGAGTGAGGAATCCTCAGTGGCTTGCACTTTGCTTCCACTATGTATAATATGTCTTTATTTTCTTTCTGGCTGCTTTCAAATTATATCGTTTATTTTCAGCAGTTTAACTGTGTTATGCCTCAACGTATTTTTCCTTTTTAAAGTTTATAATGTTAAGGGTTCCTGCCAGGTTTCTTAAATTTATGTCTTCTTCAAAATTTGGGAACTGCTCAGTTACTTATCTGCAAATATGTTTTTGTGTTTAATTCTCTTTCTGGGATATGAGTCATCTTTGCTAGATCTTCTGGTGACACATGTTTCTGAGTATTTACTTCTTTATTTGTTTTTGTTAAATGTTTATCATAAATTTCAAGTTAGTTCCTACTGATCCATCATCAATTTAACTGCTTTTTTTACTCTGACAGTTTCATTCTATTAGACTTCTAAAATTTTCTTTTCAGATGATTGTTTTTGGTGAACCAGTGAGTTTTATTGGGGTTACTTACTAGAGTATGGGCGAGAGGTTACTTACAGGAGCAGAAATGACTCAAAGACAGCTGCATCATCAGCAGGGGTAAGAGCTCAGGAAAGCAGGAAACCTGGAGCTTACTGCACAACCTGCAGGCACTTCAACAGGTTAGAGTGTCTCTTCCAGGTGGCTTGATTGACCTGAGTCACCTAGGCAGCTCAACAGGTCTGAGAGGTCTCTCAGCAGTCCTGAGTGCTTATATAAGCCTCTGGGAGGGAGCGACCTAGTGAATCTGGTCAGTTTCAGGGATTTCCCAAAGCTTTAGTTGTTTACTTCTTGAGTTTTGTTGTTATTTCTGAGACAGTGTCTCATGTAGCCTCCACTGGCCTGGAACTTAACTATGTAGACCAGGTTAGCCTCCATCTCTCTTTCCTGAGTTACTTTATTATATTTTTTTGATGTGTGTGAGTGTATTGCCTGCATGTAAGTGCACCCATGTCATGCAAAGCCCACAGAGGCCAGAAGAGGGCATCAGATCCCCTGGAACTGAAGTTCCAGACAGTTGTTAGCTGCCATGTGGGTTCTGGGAATTGACTCGGGTCCTCTAGAAAAGCAGCTAATGTATTAACGACTAAGCCATTTCTCCAGCCCCTCTACTTCCTGAGCTTTAATGAACTTCCCTCCAGGATGAAACATTTCATTTCCCTTTAGACTATCCTATGTCTTAAGGAAGTTCCCAGATGGGATGTTTTCTTTTAGAGGAAATTGCTGCATAAATCTTTACCCCTTTCCCCAGTTCTTACATCCTTTCTGCCCTCTCTTCCACAATGGTTCCTGATCTTGGAAGAAGTGACAGAAGTCTAATCAATTTTTCTCTAACTCCAGTGGCATATAAACCTTGGTGTCTTTTCATTCATCCGTCTGTCTCCAGAACATGGCTGACAGCGAGTCTTGGTGATATTTTTTTCTGTTACAAAACACAAATAAGGAAAAGAAAGGAAACTGGAAATGAAAACATTTAAATGAACACTAACTGCAGTCATAATCTATGGTTATAAACACAAATGTTGGGAAGCACCTTGTCAGCTACATTATAGGTATTTACCAAAGCAATAGCAATGGCTTCTCTATTGGGACCTGTGACTTTCCCTGCCACAGGTTTTTGTCTAAGTTCCCAGTATCAATTCTGAATTTCTCCCTGTGAAGATAGCTTTGAGTCCAATCAGAAATCTGGTTCCATCCATAACCATTGTTGAACTAGTTGACACTTCTGTCATGAAGCATGCACAATCCACAGCTGAGTAGGATTTGGGGCCATCAAATTCTTCCCAGCAACCTCAGTAGCACCTTCCAGCCCTATGTGACCTCTTCAGCAGAAGGGTATTACAGTCTAGTTTTGCAACACAGTCACCATCAATGTGAATAGATTTTGTTGTATTAGGGGGCCTCCAAGGCCTCCCTATTCAGCAATCCTAGGAAGGTAACTAAACCCTATCTCTGGAATTCTTAACAACTTTATGGCTCTTGGGGCATTTGTGTTTACTCTCAAAATTTACACTTGTTTATACTATAGTATTTAAAAACTTACCTTCAGGATATCAGCTGTGTCTAACCAACCATAAAGCATCAAGAATGTCATAGCTACACCTACCCTTCATACCATTTGTGAACTGATTTTTATCCTTAGTCCTTTAGGTATACTTGGTGTGTTTCTCAAATGGGTACCAACTCCATAAAATGATTAAGGCTGGCATTGTTATCTCTATGTAATGAAACCTCTTCCAAGAGGATGGGCAAGACAACAGTGTACAGTCCCATAACAAGTAGTGGAGTTAGAGAGATAACCTTTGTGAAGCAGTCTGAAAGTCCAGTGACATCCGTTCAGAGCAAGTGTCAGGTGATTGCAGAAGTTCACAATTAAGAAGATCCTAATTCAAACATTAGTAAGGTTTAAGGCAGCATGGAAACACTTTATCTATTTGTATTAATTATCTGATGTCTCATCCTACCGCACTTTCATAAGACCTCTGTCCATTCTTTTCACTCATGATGAATTCAATGGGGTTGGTTCTAGCTGCTTAGTCTGGCCTAGGACCAATGGGGAGCTAGTCACCCATTTCCTAAACTATGCCTCCACCGACCTCCTAGGCTGTGCCTGCACCTGACTCTTAGGTTCTGTCTGCATCTGCTTCTTAGATGAGTGGACAATTTCTGTGCCCAGGAGAGAAATGGACATATTTACTCAAGGGAGACAGCTGTTCACCCCCCAGTCAAGTTTAATCCCTTTAACTTGTCTTTTTATATCTAAATCTACTAACATTTATTGCCTCTGATAGGTCTTGGGGCACCAGGAACTGAGGCATGCCTTCTTCCAGCATCCACCTAAGTTATCCACCCATTTTTAACATTAATGGAAGACCAATAAATCTGTAATTTAAAATGGGGCTTTCCATTAACCTGTGTGGTCCTCACCAACAGGTATCCCTGGTCACTCCATTAGGGAAGTAGCTGGGGTCTTTCTCACTCCTGGGGACCTCCTTCCTACACAGGGCTAGGGAGTATAAGGTAGGAATCATCTGTATGTCTCAGCTTTCTGTATGTTATACCCCTGTGGTGAATTGCTAGTCACCAGCCCACATGGTCTTCCAGTAGGGTCTCCAGGTGCAAACCCCAGGCTAGTTTATGGATGTTCATCCATACACAGTGGAGGAATGTGTCATTGGGGGCTTGGGTATGTTTCTGTTCTGGCTTCTAACCAGAGGCCACATGTTAAGCACCTGCATCCCTGTGACCTTCTGAAAGGAATGCAGTTTGTTTGTTCAGTCATGTCTGCCCAAGGTGCCAGAGACAGTTACTTTTAGGTTTTGCCCTTGTTTCAGCTTGTTTAGATTTTTCTTTTTAATTTTTATTGAATTTTTGTGTATTTTATACATAAAATCATCTTTATACCCCCTTTCCCCTTTGGCTCCCTCCCATAGTCTCCCCACTGGAGTTCATATAGTCTGTCGTTTATATTAAGGCTTATCATATAACTTAGTTTCCCAAGATGTCCCTCAGTTCAAGTTCATTCACTGGGATCTAGTCAGCCTATCTAGAGTCCCTCCCTTTAAGAAGATCAGCTCTTCCTTACCCAGCGGCAATCAGCTGCCAATAATTCTTCAACTAAGATTGGGACCTGCTGTTCATTTCCACAGTTCTGTGCTGGGTTTTTATCAGCTTAAGTTTGCATGGGTCTTATGCATGCTGATAGCATTGCTGTAGGTTTGTATGAGAAGGGTGCCAAGCACCTGTAGGACTATTTCCATATGGTTCTGCACCTCCTCCCTGGCTCTTACAATCTTTCCACCCCCTCTTCTGCAATGGCTCCTGAGCCCAGGGTGGGTGGATTTTAATATAGGAGTCCTGTCTAAGGCCCCACACTCTGTCATTCTTATTCTCTGTGTTTTGGCCATTTGTGACCATTTGTGTTCCTGGCCTTGTGTCGCATGACGGAGCTTCACTGATGAGAGTGTTCATCAGAGAAGATGCATTAGTGTTCTCTTCATCCCTTATTCCTTTCCATTCGATGCCTTTGTATTTTCTATCTTCTGAGATTTCCTTATTATGTGCATTTTCACCTTCCTTTAAGCATTGAACTTAGTTATGAAAACTATTTAAAATATTCCTTTGATAACATCTGCTTTACCTTGACTTTTAATTTATA